TAGAAAACGTGAGTAGGTACTTATTTAAAAAATGAAATCATAAAAAAATCGTATTTTATTCCCGGTTAATCGCTCTAATTTCATATACCATTTTTAAAAACCAAAAAATATCTATGCATTTACCAATTAGATAAAATTGAATTTCAGAAAAGGTGCTACACTTACACATCGGACCAATTTTTAGTGAATAAAAGTGGTATACAGTATAAATTAAAATGATGTACCATTATAAAAAAATTTTAAAAATTGGAAAAAAGTCGTTTGACGACTTTGAAAATTTTACCATATCTAGGTAAGTCCAATATAAGTATTATTAACAAGTTTCAATTCTTTACGTGTATTTATAACATAATTACAGCAAAACACTCTCAAATATTAAAATTCCTTAAAAGCTCAAACATTTTGGCAATGATACGGTAAGAAATTAAATCAAAAAGACATAAAAAGGTATTTTATGATTTTTGGATTGAATCATTTTTTTGGGGTATAAAAGTCGTTCATGTTTTTATAAAATAATGAAATCGTAAAATTGTACGTTTTTTTCCACTTAAGTGCTTTTATACAAAAAATGGCATCGAAAATCAATGGCCCCTCTAAAATACCATCTAGATAACTTGAGCTTTCAGAAAAGTTACTACACGTTAAAAAACGTATCCACAGTCTAGAACAAAGAACAAAGAACGAAGAAGAAATGATCAAAATCGTAAAACCAATCGCTATGTTAGGAATCTAAAACGATAACGTGCCGAATACAATACATCAATTTTTTTTTCCAACCGTTATTGGGTATGTTTATAACGTTTAACTTTTGTCCTCATTTTCTTGGTCTTCAGATAGCCTCTTTAATCCATCGTTAGTTTCTATTCCTGTATTTTTCTCATTTGGGATATTTATGAATTTTATTATATTCCTGGTGTTTTTGGTCCAAAAATTATACTTTTTATTGTAGTTTATGCAATATATTTTAGTTTATTTAGTCTATGCAATTTTTCTTCATATCGTATAACATATCTCATTCTATCTTATTATCGCTGTATTCTGATATTCATTATGATTTTTATTTATTGAATTTCAGTTAGCATATCTTCATTCGTTATTCTATCCGGTTTATTTTGTTTACTTGTCATCAATACAACATTTCAAATGCTTCAAGCGATATTTTGTACATTTTGTTAATGACACATGTTTTGCAGATGACTGCAACTCTTAAGACACGTATATGGCATAACAACATTACACACACACACACACACAGGCATTTATAAATGTCTAAACTGTCTAAGCTTGTCTAATATGCTGTTTAATTGTATATATACTTTTTTCGACGTTGTTATATGACTACCCAATAAACATTTTAGAGTATATTAAATATGTGTCCGAATATGTATTTCGTTTTATCAAAATGTTCTATACAAAATAGGTACTCGATGAATAAAATAAGTGAGTTGACGTTTAAATTTTGTAGAGGATATTTATCTAGATTGACTTCGGCGTGCGCACACGAGAAATCCCCGGTGGCCGACAATGAATAATACATGTACCGTACAAGACGTATTGATAGAGTAAAGGTCTTATTTTTCGTTTAAGCCAATAAAAAGTAAAGTAAGTTTTTTTTTTTTTTCTAAAGGTTTACGAATATATTTTTGATGTACAAGATTACGATCATCATCATCACTCATCTTTTTTTACTATACGCATCAAAACCACACTCATGATTATAATCAGATTTAAGTAAATTGAAAATGAATTATGACAGGTAATTTTTCATCTAACAAAGTGTATTAATATATTAGAGAGTTCTAGTTCTACTGAAATAATATTATGTATGTTTGGCAATCTTCGTAAACTGCTATTAGTGAAATACCTAACCGTTCGCAGGTTCATCTAAATATTAAGGTGTCTGAATGCATCTATTTTGTATAAGTTTTAAACCAATAATCAGAGAGAAATTAGATATAACTGCTTCCCAATATCTTATTTAAATTTTTAAATTATTTGTCTATGTACTTTTTGACAAATCGTCTATAGGTAATTTAGGGAGTCAATTTTCGGTTTAAAACTTGATGTACCTAAAATAAATATAACTTCAATCGGAGCAAACGCTAGTTTGTTTTTCCATGAAGCTAAACTCTTCATAACTCTATTCACTCAAAATACAAAACTTACAATAGAAATTTCCAAGTTAATATGCTAAATTACAGAATTTAATTAACACTACAGTAACGGGAGTTAAAAACAAAATACATATAATTTCACTGGAAAAATTACCATTTTCTCCTTAACAACACCTATATTTTATATTGTAAACTTAATTTACTTTTTCGAACGTTGTTTTGGACTGCAATAAATGCAAACAAACTTTTTCATCAAAACATATTATTACCTTAAAGAATCCTGTCGAACGTTTTCAGTTAAAGTTGTGATCGTCTTGTTACTGTTCGTAGTGCCTATATAAATGAAATATTTTTTTTTTTTTCTATTGCGATACAAAATTAATCAAAATAAATACTAAATTTACAATTTACAATAAATCATATAATATGTAACATCTCCGTTAACATTTCAACGGTAATACGGCGTATATATATATAATATACTATTAAAATATATTTGGATGCTATATTTGTATAAGTAAAAAATGTTTATAGGTTGTATAGTGTAGCAAACTTATTATTTTTTTTAATTTAATACCATTGAAATTAGCGTAATTCAAAAATGATTTCGAGATTACACTTCACAATATTATTAAGGACATAATACTTTTATATTCGTAAAATGACGGTTTTACGTATAAATACTATGTATGATATATTGAATCTCCTATTTAAATAGTAACTTGATAAAATTTTTTGGGCTTGTTTCCCAAGATACCACAGACAGTTTATAAAAAAAAATTCTTCATTATAAATCTAATAAAACATTCTTTCAAAAGCTTAAAACAGTTACCAGGATTACACACGTCGTTGAATTACTGTAATATAACTTATTTTACTTCATAGAAAATTGTGATTATCTATCTTTGGAAATATTATAAACAAAACCATTCATTAATAATTACAAATTTTTAACACGATTTTATAAAAAAAAAAATATTTACTATAATCTGATAAAACGTAAAAAAAAACGGAAATACATCGCACGTGGCTAAGCCACTGTTGTAGGTGAGAAGTTGGATAGGTAGAGGGGAAATATAATGTATATCTGTACGCAACGATTAACATTTGATAACAAAAAAACGATATTGAGCGGAATTCGGTTAATAGTGTTACTTTTTCACATTATAGTAAAATAATTACTAATACATTATATATTTTCTTTAATAATATTTTTTTCAATTTCCCGTTTTTTCTCGATTTTTATATATTTTTCTCGTTTATTGGAAAAAACAGCCTCTCTAAAGTACTACCCCAGGAATATTTCCTTTAAGAAAAGATGCTATACTTGATACTTCTGAATAAGATTTCTGGAAGAATTTTTGTACACACTATAGAAAAAATAAAAAAACATCATTGTAAAACCAATATATTCGTCACTACACCCAAATTCTATAAAAAAACCTATACTGTTAAATGTGGATATTTAGAACACATTGTTATTTATATCTGTAAACTATAATTGTATTTATTACTCAATACTTAATAGCATTTTGTAGTGATATTTGATTTATATTATAAAAAAATGTTAATGTTTATTTTTAAACTCAGGTTTTCAATTAATGAACATTACAATTTAATATCAAATAATATTAGTTGACAAATAATTGTTAAAATTTAACATTCAATGTTTGTATTAAATTAAAAATGTATATTGTATACATATTACTTTCAATTGAAAGGAAATTGGTTTAAATAGTTCTATTGATTTAACTTTAACAATTAAATTTAAACAATTATAACTTTATTGTTTTATATTTTAATATGAATATTATTTAAATTAATTATTTAATAAAATTGAATATGTCGTGGGATGTGGAAATGTTATATTACGATTAATGGTTATGAAAACAGACTTAACAGTTTACATTTTTATGTTAAGCAAACAAGTAACAGAATTACTTACATAAATTTAAAAAAAAAAATTTGAAAAATTTGTGACTAAAATAATCTATTTGAGAGAACAACGATGAAGCGTGTTGTACGGAACTTTCTAAATGGAATACAGTTTAAACTGTTCATATCTGTGTAAACAATCGTACAAAATTAGTAATAATATTATGATCCGTACGCGATAGACATTTTACGTACACGGTATACGAAAACATATTCTCGTCCGCAGAATAACACATTTTTCTCTTTAAATTATATTATATTTATGTAATTAGTTATTTATTATTTAAATATAATATTATAATGTTACAGTAAGACAAATTGGTGAATAATTTTGGTGAAAAATAATGCATGACGTCACGGATTTTACCCCTGGTTTTACCGGTTAGCCGCGCCTTATTTCCAGGAGACTCGTTTATTTATTATTGTCATCTTTCACAATAATCCTTCTTCTACGCCTTTTTTTTCATTTTAATAATTTGGGGTCGGCCACTTACGTCCTAAACCGATCCCCGACATTATCTTGACCAAATCCCCAGATTATCCTCACATACGGATGTATGTATCCATCAAGAGCACGTAAAAATCTAGAAAGTAAAATTTTTGAATTCAAAGACATTCAATTTTTCGATAGTTAAACCACTAGATAAATTTCCTCTATGGGATAAGTACAATATCCGAGCATATTTGTTAAAACTATTCACCTGATCGTTAAATTGATAGTAGTTATCAACTGCTGTAAAATGTTGAAAATCAAATATTTTACTTTCCAGATTAATACATTCCGGACTTTTACATTCCAAGTTTTATTTCGTGATGCTATAGCTGAAAATAAATTTTGGGAAGAGGAGGATGATATTTAATTATTTTATCATAATATGATAAAATAAAATAAAATATGACATAATATTATATACCTATTAATAGGTATATATTATTGACAAAGCAACACTATTAAGCGAACTCTGTTAGCAATGGTTAATTGTTGCATAAACATAAACCTTTGCATGGGTTAATATTTTTAAGCCCAAACAGACTCATCTTCGATGTGTAAAATCTGGCCCGTTAGAGCTGTTATTATTTATGAAACCCGAGCCCTCTCAAATTAAAATATTAAAATATAGCCTAACCGACCCTGTCCGTTTTAATAAAATATGAGGCCCTGTTCTGCCCGGATCAGTGTACCTATGGGCTGAGCTGGGTACAAGCCAAGTCTGGGCCCGCCTGGTCCGTGCAGGATTCTAGTACAAATATACATTAAATTTCTCCTCTACCACGTTCCCAATTTTTCAACTACAACAGTGGTCTACCCACGTGCAAAGTATGTTCATCTTATTCATTATTTTGCTTCAACACTCGTATTTTGACTGTTTGATTCTTTTTAAATCGGTTTAAATATAATGTTTTTATCGAATAGATAATATTCCTACCTATTTGAAGGACTGAACAATATAATAATAAAATTAATTTCGGTCGTAAATAAAAACATATTTTCTCGATATTTTCCCCGGTTTTTTCGTATTTGAGTTGTTCGGGGTTATTCTTATAGTTATATTGAAAAAATACGGACTGATGAACATTAAGTTTGCTTCGTTGCCTAAATGTCGAGAGAATTTTTAAGAGGCGAATTATAAAACTAAATTATTTTTAAAATATTAGTTACCGTAACTGTAGTTAAAATATGTTTTTAATTTTAACCCGCGGTATAGAATATCGCTATAAAAAAATAATATAACCGAACCAAATCAACGAACTGTATTTCTAATAAAATTATCATTAAAATGTTTATATATATATATATATATGAAATTAAAACGAAATATACAATACGCGTTGCGTTGAATAAATATAGAATAAATTGAAATTAAAATCCGTCGAGAAAATTATAATATTTTTTTTTGTTTGACATGCGTTTATACTTTATCTTAGTTGCAATATGTACAATAAAATTTACAATCGATTAATTAATTTAGTCTAAATAATAAATGATAATGGGTTTTAAGTTGTCCGGGTGAAGGATTTCTGACAGAATGTAGGATAATTCAGAACCCGTGTCTCCCTTTGAATGAACGGTATTCGGGTATGTTGTGTTTGATCGTAAAGGGGATGCCGAAACTGGCACGTATGGAAAGGGGGTCTCCTTTCACCTCTTCAGGTATTGATGTGTTAACGCAGTGTATTCGATTCACAATCTATTAATGGAAGTTTCAATTATTGTTGATATATTCGATGGTAAATAAATAAATTAATGGTGTTTTTAATTTCATTGAATTTAGATAACCCTTAAGTTTATGATCGTAGCCTTGTTGTTTGAATTCTAAATTTAACGTCGAAAAAAGTGTAAGTATTAAATATGGTAGCATCCGAGGAAGTTATTACTTGGAGTGCTTTATGATGAGTTTTGTGTTTCCCGAGATTTGGATGTGACTAGGGATCCATATACGTTTGTATTTAATATTTTTGAGTTTTTATACGTATTTTTATTTAGTAGGTATCTGATATTAAAATTATATGACTTAAAAGAATGCTTGAAGATGTGATATAAGGTACATTATAAATTGCACATGAATGATCTAAAATACAAATTTAAAATTAATGCATTCGTTTTTTTTTTTTCATTAGCAGTTTAATATTTAAAAATGTAGACGAGAATCATAAAAAATACGGAATTTCAAAATATATTTTACCGAACTTCACTCCGAATTGTTTTTCATTAGCGATAGTTTATCGTTGCATATAGATAAACTTAATAAATTGCATAAATTAAATAATTTCATGTATTTTATCTTCCCAACTTTCCAACTAAAACAGTGAATAACTGCACCTGTTCCTATATCAGCTCTGTTTTATTTTTATTTTTGAGGGCCTTGTTTAAAAGTTGGGCTCTAGGATTTCTAAATTACTCAATCCGGGCTTATTTTAATTACTTCTCGAACGTCAACGTTAGTACGATACTAAATAACTCAACGTTCAATATTAAATTATACGGGTATACTGGCATGGATAAATATTTTAGTATATGGTATTTCAAAATTATACAATGAAATTATTTACAAGATACATAGAACTCAATCAACTCATCTCAATGAACGGTATTATACTTTATGAAATAGTGTTTTTTAATTTGACTTGAATTCAAGTCCACATTTCACCAATCTAAAGTAATATACAAAACAATATTTTCCAAAGTCAATACACGAGTGTAGAACGGGGCCGTAAATTACGAACAATTAATTGTTAAGAAATTTTTTTATACCACCTTCAAGTATTGTAAAATAACTTTTTTTTTATTGAATTTATATAAATGTAACCACAAAATGAAGTCTTAAAGTGATCATTCTGTCAAGAAATTTTTGAAAACTGATCTGGATATTTCACAGCATTTTCCGGAAGATTAGTGATTAGAAGATTTTTTTTCTTATGCCTTATTTAAGATCGATTAGCAATAATGAATCTAATGGGAGACGAATAGGTCATTTAACTCCCACGTCTCAAAAAATACGTTTTATTCTTGTATTATAGTTAAGTAAATAGACATTTTAATTGTTCATAGTTCCACCTCTCTTCCAAAATTAAGGATCCACCACTGTCGTCAATTTTCCTCGATGTTCTTTAGTGTACTTTACTCTATACCAGTCTTAAAAAAACACAAACCTGTAATTCTGATATTTTGAAAGATTAGTTTCCGATCCGACTCATTTCCCGGAATAGAGATATGCCCTTCCACTTTTCCGTTCATTTGATTTAACGTTTTGTTGTTTTTTTTTTTCGCGGGAATACATTCTTAACAGTAGTGTACATATACCAATAAAAGTAATAGTAAAAAGAGTAATAATTGGTCCCTCTTAAATATTTCTTTATTTATATCAGTCATATTTTGGTAAGTATAAGTATAAGTCCTATAAATCGCTATTATCAGTATCCAAATACATATACTTAAGCCGCTTGTTTATTCGAAATCCCCGCGGAAACTTTAAAGTCGGCGATAATTCAAACACGCGTTTATAAAATCGCTGTATAAATTATAATATGCGGTCGGGGTGAAAATGATGCAGGTTTGATAAAACTTTATTTTCCGCTCGGTCTTTTTTTTCTCCCATCAATTTATATATATACATTATTATATTTTATTCGGCACAGTTCGTAAAAGCACCGCTGTAAAATGTCTATAAAAACAAAAAAAATATAATAAAAATAACGCTACCGTTTTCACGTCGTATTTTTCTGCAAAAGTTACGGCGATAAAATATTTATTTATAACGCATTTCATTTTAATCAGCTTATTATTACTGGGTTTATTATACGTATATTGAAACCAAAAGTGGAGTGTATCACACCATTGGTAAACGAAAAGTTACGGAAGTGTCGTAAATATTGCGGTTTAAGTAATTTTCAAACCGAAAGAAAGTTTTACCAGCAAGGACCACCGGTAATGTGACAAAAACGATATTTTCTGCGAGATGAAAATAATATACGAGTATTATATTATACTGCATATTATCGTCACACGTTAATGGTTGCGTATTAATTATAGAGAATGACTTATTTGTTCGATTTATATATTTTTTATATACTGAAAGAAGTAACAAAATGCTTTTTTTTTTTTTTTCGCACCAAACTGTTCGAACACAAATACAATAATATTTGCATATTATACCTAGTCTGGATAGATAAATAACTAAAACACGATAAAATAAAATAACTTCCGTGTTATTGTTGTTCCTTTTCGTTCTATGTGCCACGTTCTTCACATAGATCACTTACCAATTGTCATCTGACAGTTTTATCGATTGCATTTCTAAGCCATGGATACCATATATACGAGCATAAGTATATAATATATACCTAATGTTTTAAGTCAGTTTCTTGACTCTCACATATCACACAATGTACTTACTGCAGTACTTCCTAGAGAACATGTATGCACAAAGCACGGAAACGTCACCGTCTAAGTTAAATTCCCAAGAAAAATACCATAATAATCGTCCTGAAAATTTTGCAGGTAAAAGAAGACACGTGCTATATCCGTTCAAACGATTATTGAAGTATATATATAGACATATGTGTGAATAATACGAATATTATTATATCGTAGAAAAACTTTATACGTATAACTTAACTGAAAAGCATTTTTTGTCCAATGTATTTTGCATAAAAGAATTTATTTACTTTTTTTAAAAAAAAAATGTGACTTTGTATTCTATATTAAAAAAAAAATTTCATACAAAACATATTGTTATTAAATATGAGGATTTTATCATTTTAAAAGTGAGTAAAAATTCAGAGTTTCAATAATTGTATACTTTGTAAAGTACAAAGAAAAAAGAATAACTATGGAATAATAATGTATTGTACTAGAACAAAATTCAGAATGCATGTTTAAATACAATACAAATTATTTCATATTATTATTTAGTATTCTGATATCGACTTTTAATTGATATGGTAACATTTTTGAAATATTCTTGCGATTCTTAAGCTATTTCTTATAGTTTTGAATTTCCTAGTGTTTTTTGATTTTAAGCGGATAAAATATACTCAAAAATTGAACAAGAGATATATCATAAGTTTAACAACGTAATTAAAGTTCAAATTTTGACAGAAATTATAAGAAAAATAACGATATTTCAAAACGTATTTAACCAAACTACGCTCATGATCGTTTTTTTTTATGTTAGCATTGATATATATTTGCGTAAAAACATATATTAAATACCTCTTTGTATCCTACCTTTAAAACTTTCCACCTACAGAAATGGCTCATCCATTAAAAGCAGTATAATCTCTTATTTTTTTTGTCTACGAATTAACGCTATTTAGTTTTTTTTTCACAGCATTACATCTAAATAAAACGATCATAATTTGTTTGTTCAAATTTGCAAAAAGCTAATATGTAGGACATATTATAAAACAACGACAAATATCGTAAAATAAAATCATGGATTCGTTTACAATAACATTTTATTCTGTAGATATATTTAAAGGGAGTTTAAAGTTTAAACCACCAAAAGGCAGATTTACACTATGTAAATACAAAATATTACCCCCCCCCCCTCTCCAGATTCATTTAGGGGGTTTAAGGGGTGAAAGAAAAAAATAATAATCATAAAACTCTTCTCCAGTAACAAAATTGTGAACTTTATATTTAAATTCGACCAAAAATATTGTAATAC